TCGTCGTCCTCTATAAAATGGTCCTAAAAATGCCCCCCTAAGTCCATCCGTTTGGAAGTTATTGGCGAAAAACGAAAATTTCGCGAAATCTGAAGGTGTACCCCTTGGAAAAATCTCGGAAAAATCGTAAATTTTTTTTTGTTGTTTATTATTAGCAAAGTTCCTTCGACGTCTGATTTCTTTTTAAAAAATGCGTTTCTAAAGTGCATAAACTTTTGGTATTGTCTGTATATCCAATACATCCTTAAAATGTAATTAGGGATATTTTATGGAGCCACTCCAAATTCATCGGAATCGTTTAACGAAGTAATCGATGAGATTAACTGTAATTACTGGATTTTCAGATCAGGTCCGTGCATCGGAATCGAAACTGAGGAAGACTGCTATGACGCTTTCGAGCTCGACTCCTCGTGACACGTGCGTAATAATCGAGGCGACCTAAGCGTCGCTCATCGCATCGATTTGATCGATAGCGCACTCGAAAACTAGATTAAAAGCCATCGATAATAGTTTAACTACGTGTCTGTCTCCTGTTGACCCCATCCGCGCATCGCGGACCATTAATATCGGGCGAAAAATCGAAAGATAAGCGAGCCACGGACAATTGATTATCGAAACGATTGTCAAGAGTTTAGGTTCTAGATATTAGATTAACTTTTAGATTACACCGATACGTCTATTAGGACAGTCGATTAGCTACTATAAATACCGCGACGATTTCAATCCGCAATCACAGACACCGCACTCGCATCGACGAAAGTAAGGAAGCCAACTTTCAAGATGCTCCAACACCTTGTCGTGGTCTTCGCCTTGGTGGCCTTTGTGGCCGGTAAGTCTTTGCATATATTTATTTATTTGCTTCATTCTGCGAACAACGTTCTCATTGTAATAAAAATTACTCGCAACTTTGCATACATAATTGATTCATAAGATCGCGGAGGATCTTTCGATACGTATAAAGAATGTATCTTAAGACAGACACGTTTCGTTCTATAGGAAGCCCCATCAACCAGACGATGATGATCGATCTGCGAATGGACGGCCGCATCGTGGGTGGCGAGGAAACCACGATTTTCACGGCGCCTTACCAAATCAGTTTACAGTACTCTGGCCGCCACATTTGCGGAGGTAGCATAATCGGTAGCAATTGGGTGGTCACCGCCGGACATTGCTCAGACTATGCTGCCAGTTCCTACCAAATCCGATCGGGCTCTACCAACGTCCATTCCGGCGGCTCGTTGCACAAAGTCGTACAAATTATTCGTCACAAATCTTACGACACCAACCGTAACGGAATCCCGATAAACGACATCGCCCTATTCCGTATCGCCGATACGTTCCAATTCAACAACGGACGAAAAGCAGTGAGCCTATTCCAAGGAAGCTCCGCGTCCCTGGTTGGAAAGAACGCTCTGATCACCGGCTGGGGAAACACCGAGTCTGGAAAAGCTCCAGAGGCGCTGCGCAAGGTCTCCGTCCCTGTGATCACTAAGAAGAGCTGCGACGACGCTTATAAAAGCGTAGGAGGTGTTCCCGCGGGTCAGGTTTGCGCCGGATACACGCAGGGCGGCAAGGACTCCTGCCAAGGGGACTCCGGCGGCCCCATGGTCGTCAATGGACAACTGGTCGGCGTCGTCTCTTGGGGAATGGGTTGCGGCACCCCTAAATATCCAGGAGTATACACGGACGTCTCTTACTACCGGCAATGGATCAAACAGAACAGCGGCATCTAATCTGTGATTTCCTCTCATTAGAAAATGATTCGACGACGGACAAAAAAAAGGATAATAATTCTAGTCGCAGCTTCAGTTGCTACTCCATGTATTATCGATGATGATTCAATTGAAAATCCTTCTAACTTCTTGCCATGAACTTTTGTAAAAGCCTTAAGTGCAACACTGTATAGTTTTAATTATGTAAATAAATTGTATATTATTACTATCGTTAAATTTCCTGGTTTCACTTTATTTAATTTAAGTGATAGACGTACTAGTCCTACTAACATATCAATAAACCCATTGAAATTGATTAATCGTTCGACACTCATCATGATAGAGATATTTTGTAGTTCACGCATTTCTCAGATTCACTTTGGAATGCGTCTTTGTTCCGAGAGCTGATATTTCCGCTGATTCACGCGTATCGGTTGCAAACAGACGGACAGATAATACAAGAATAAAAGAATTGAAGGAGACAATGAAACGCGTTCATCGTACGTTGATTGATTTTGTTGGTAAATCCCAGATGAGGGACGCGCGATCATATTTTCGAAAATGTTTAATCTCGCTCTTTCTTGGAACTGTCTCCCCTTATCGACGAGTGAAATTAATCCCTCCCCAATTTTTGGCTACCCAATTTTTCATATAAATACGAAATGAATTTCGGAAAATAGGCAGACAACCGTCAGAACTCAACTACAAGATGTTTCTACTGAATTTCCTCGCTCTGTTGGCTATCGCCACAGGTAAGTATCATTTTTACTGTCATTAGAATTTTATTAGTTTATTTTCTGCTACGATCCATTAAAACTACAGTACAAACGATAAAGTATGCATCACGGAAGCTAAGCTTCTTATGGGAACCAATGCCTCTTGTACCCATTACTTGCAACACAGTTTCCCTTTATCAACTTCTTTTCTCGAGGATTTATAACAACGACGTAAATCTCCTTCATCCTTATGGATGCCTTTACGAAACGCATTCCCTTCTCTACGAGAATCTACGCTCGCGTATATTTATTCTATACACTGGAAATAAACGGATATTTATTTTTTCCCAGCCAATCCACTGACAAGACCGATGCCCCTGAACCCGTTTTCACCCACCGGGCAGATAGTGGGCGGAACCGACGTAAAGATCGAGGAAGTGCCACACCAAGTAGCTCTCAAGGCCTACGGTTTCCAGTTCTGCGGTGGTAGCATCATTTCGGAGGAATGGGTCATCACGGCTGCCCATTGCATGTCGTACCCGGCTTCGAGCATCACGGTGGTCGCCGGAACTGCGACCAAATCCTCGGGTGGTAGCAATCACCAGGTTGCCGAGGTACTCGTTCACGAGAAATACGTGACGAACTGGCACGGTGTCCCGGAGAACGACGTCGCCGTGATGAGAGTGAAGAACCCGTTCAAGCTTGACGCAACCCGTAAGCCCATCAAGTTGTTCAAGCAGAACGAGGAATCCGTGCCTGGAATCAGCGCTATTATCACGGGATGGGGCGCGACCAGGGAAGGATCCAGTACCACCGAGGTTTTGCAGACGGTCACGGTTCCCATCGTGTCAAAGGTCTCATGTGACGAGGCGTACAAGTCTTACGGTGGATTGCCGGCGGGACAGATTTGCGCGGCGGTGCCCGAGGGAGGAAAGGACGCCTGCCAGGGAGACTCCGGCGGCCCAATGACCATCGGCGGCCGTCTCGCCGGACTCGTGTCCTGGGGTTACGGCTGCGCCCGCAAGGGATACCCGGGCGTGCATACCGAGGTTGCTGCCTTCAGCGACTGGATCACGTCCAAGACCGGAATCAAGGCGTAAACGTTTGGCCAAGGCCTAACGCGGACACTATGACGACCCTTCTTCGTTCCGACAGTTATACGTTTAATCTTAAATCTTTTATTCTTAATAAGTATGTATATTCTCTTGTTAACTGGCTAATGTTGGAAATAAATATGTAACATGTATTTGCTCCTTGCAATAAATTGTACTCAGACAACGGAAATCTGTCGGAAGCAACCTGTACACAAAGCTTGAACGCTCTCGAGCGGCTGCGTTTCTCGCGAATCCGGTTAAAGTCGAAATTAATTCTCCTCTCGCGGCGGCAACAAAGTCCCCGATTCAATCTCGACTAATGCACTAATCCTATTCCGCGGCTTCCGCGTCGGAAACTATACAGTAAAGTGCACCTTTCATTAACAAATTGCGCCGTATCATCGGCGCGACACGGACACGGGACTCCTGCGCAGCTCCCGCGAAATTCCGGTGGCGAAACGCGAAAAACCTCGAGCACCTTTTGCGAAAGACCTGCGAGCACACCGAGCGCGGTTGTCATCGGCGAATGAACGTCGAGTCTCGAGAAGATTCATGCAATTAGAGATTGATTTACGCTGTCGGATCAAACGATTGTACTTTGCCAAAACCATTCATCGTTCTGGCAGCGTGAAACCAACTATCCTAACAGCGGTGTGCCGAGGTCGGATGATAATGTCCCATACGTTACGAATGTACCAGCGAATTGATTGACGAACGGGTGACCGGTCGTAAAGGAACCAAATCTGTAATTACGCAAAAAGTCGAACACGTTGTCCAATTCGTCGAGAAACGAGCCCCACTTTTATGTGGGTTAAAGGCATCGAAAGACACGGTTCCGTTTCATGGCATCAGTCGCGAGCGAAACGTTTGCCAAAAGCGATTTTCCCACAACCTATTAGTAACGCGTCCGTGTGTACACGTTGAACACATTTTAGTCTGTTAAACGCTATCCGTTTGCTAGCACCGGCCATTGCCGTGAAACGTACCTGAGAGCATTCTACGTGAAAGGGGGTGAAAGTTCGTGGCGCGAAAACTTTAGAAAGCGAGCAGCGAATTTTCGTTTATCGAAGATACAGCACGAGAACGGTTGGCAAGAGCGACGGGAGTGATTACGTTCGCGATTGGCTCGGCACAACGAAACCGTATGTATACCCGAGTGCATCCTTCGCTTCGTATGAACACCGGTGCACGATTGGATCTTGGCCAGCGAGGATGATACTATCCAAATTCTATTCTCCTCGCGAAGCTGCAGCAATCGGAAATCGCGAATTGAGAAAATAGCCAGGAGACTCTCGATTGCTCTCTTCGACACCTCTTACCTTCAGCCTGGAGAACCGTAATACCTGCAGGCCGTGGACTTTTAAACAAGATAACAAGACATTCATGGTATTAATATTACAAATCTAATTGAGATAATAATTCAAGGCATGTTCTGTATATTTCCGTATATTACATTATCGAAAAATGAGGTATTCTCTATTAATTTAGATGACTGGCATGGATATCGATACCTGCCAGTTGCCAACACGCATTCGAAGGATCGATGGAGAGCAAAGTTCGACGAACGAGACAAAGGAAATGAGGAACGCGTACAACCATACGTAGGAACAAGGACCAGTCGATAAATTATTTTTAGAACGTCTGCCTGGTCAACGCGGAATTAACGATCGAACCTAGCGAACGAGGACGATCCGATCGAGGTCAATCGCGATTACCCCGCGTTAGAAAGGATACGTTTACCTTGAACATCATCGTATCCTTTCTAGCCGACCCCTTAGCCGCGAAGGACACGAATTGTGCGTTAACGGATTTTCCCCTCGATTACCACCCTCCCGATAACCAGCAGCACGCTGCTCGTTCTTTCCTTCACGCTCGAAAGCCGCGACCGTGTCTCTTAATCGAGGAACGTCGCTAGACGAGCGAAAATCTTATGTTCCACCGTGGGAGCCGATCCTGCTGAGCTTCACACGTTTTCAGGCACGTAGTTGGGATGAAAATCTCGAGCGTCGTGAAACGTTCACGCGTCTCTACGTTCAATTAACTCATCGATCGTTGAATATAATAATTTAGCGCGTGCACGTTATTAATCGATATTTATAGAAGTCTTTCAATATTTATAGGCCGACCGACTTGATATTTATAAAGCCGATGCCAGTGCATGACATTTTAGAAAAAAAGGCATTCGCGGAAAGATATTTCCAGCGCGAAGGCTCGTGGCTGGAGGAGCCCTGGACGGGAAAGGACGCGATCGGATAATTGAACGTTTTTTTACCGCGGCTAATGTTTGATTTACTTATTATACGTTCCCAACGGAACGAGGCAAAACAGCGGGAGAGTACGAATGAAACGCGTGAGTGTGTGTACGTGTGGTCACTAGGAGACAGCGTGAACTTTTGACCTCGACGCTAGAAGCGTGTGCTACCCGAAATCAAACCAGCTTGCTCGGAATATTGCTATTAACCTTCTGCGTGCCGCTTTCCTCCATTCACCGTTCCTACGTTCCCTCAATTTCGTTTCAACGTCATCGTTACGTCGAATCGAGTTCTCCGTTGAAAAATAAATGGGACCTAAATCTCGTTTCGTTCCCGTTCTCCGCATGCATTACCTCGGATATTTGCTGCGCTCCTCGATTACGGTAACAGTTAAGATTAGATACTTTGCGTCAAGGGTTTACTGCAACGAGTAAAAAAGATTGGATGAAACTGGATCAGCTCGTAAAACAAAAGAGGCAGGTATAACGCGCTGGCCGACGTTCTGTCTACAGAAAGTGGATCGTTTTCGCGTATCATCGACGGCGGCGCGGCAAAGGCAACCTGTTCATAAGGTCATAACGTACGTACACGAGCGCACACACCCGATGTACGTACACACGCGTCCACACATACAATGACGAAATCAGTACCGTATATGCATAAATGAATATGCATGCAGGCGAGAACATCGACGACTCACTCGAAAGCTTCATCTTTGAAAACGTAATTAACCGCATACGTGCTTAATGCCAAAGAAAGCGAGGCCTGCGTGATTCGACCGACCCCTGTGTACCCGACCGCGCATGTTTTATAAAATTGTAAATATACACGTGTATGAGAAACGCGTCCGTGCTCGGTCTTTTCGTGACTTATTTAACCTTTGCTCAACGTGAAACGCGGATCAATTAAATCCGAACTGATTACAAAGATCTCCTTTCAAAAACTTCTTTCTATTAGCCACGTTTTATCATGGTCGAGCTCTGACCACCACATCGTTTTTACTCCAGCGGGTTTAGAAAAATTTCATAGTCCACGGCGCAATTTTCGTAGGCAAAGGGAGAGGGAGAACCCTTTGAGATGTGCGCGAAATATAGAGCACCCAAGAGATGTTAACGATCGTTTACCATAAAACTCGTATCCTAACTAGTTCCACCAACAAATCGATAACGCATTTCTCTATCCCTATCGCGTTGTTTACGGACCGATATCAAACAGAGTACGGTAAATGGTTGCCGATTCATCCGAACTCATTTAGCTGAGAGTCGCGACAAAATGGGGATATCGATGCGTGTAATTACGACAGTGAATAAAAATGATTCCCTAATCTTGTTTACTCAATACGAGGAGTAGTTTGTGTTTTGGAATCGCTTGAATCTGAGTATTTGATCGATCTACGCAGGCACGTAGTACAGGATTTGTCGTAAAACTCAGTCAGTATTTACGCTACGTTTATTTTGAGAATAAACAGATAAAAAATCCGGAATTACGCGTTAGCTCGAAGAATAGATTATTTTCGAAATCGACGACGAGTCTATCCCGAGTGGAGCGATCGATTTTCGAGAAGAAAACAATCTTGGAATTTAAATGACGATGTTTCATAACCGGGGTACCGACTAGGCGGTGAGACAATTGGAATATACTTGTCGAGCGTTTGATAAATAATTCGATAAGCATTGATCCAAGATGGCCGATCAATGAGAAAATAGAACACTTAGATACTAGCTAAATTGTAGATCGAAAGCTCTCTCCCGTGACAAATGAGCTCGATCGAATTAAACGAGCAGCGAGATGTTTTATCGCGCCCAAAGGTGATGAATATCCAACTGTTGGGTATCGTACATTGTGACACATATGTACATTTGTATGCACGAAGCTATGTGTACCGTAGGAAGCGAGAGAGTTGCGAATAAAACTTTCGAGTAAGGACGATATATCCCGGGGGAAATTAGAGTTTTCGTCTTCGCTCGGGGAAGAACGGTTCGCGGATCGAAGGCTCGCGCAACGATGGTGATGGTTAATAATCGTCGTTGCTGGAAATCGCGTGCACTCGCTTTCGCAAAGAGCATCGTTATGTCACTTATGACTGAGAATTTGGCGCACGATCAAGAACGACTCACCGAAACGATGCTCGCTGGTACCGTCCGTCCGGATTCTCTCAATTGGTGGCTCGCCGACGTCGACAGGCTCGGTGAATTAAGGCTGAATCCAGGGAAAGTATCGAAAACGAAACCGCACTTCGCGATTCGACGAGGACACCCGGGGACACAGACGGGTTCGGGACGAAACACAAACGAGAGGGACGTAGGCGGACGTTATATGCGGCAAAACGGTCGTCGCGCAGAAAGTTCGCCCGGCGATAGAGACACACACCCGACGCCGCGGTAACTTTCAGACTGAGGGTTGTTTCGGCGCGACGCTGCCGCACTGCCACCCCTCGACCGCCGAGCTCACTAGACCGCCCCCGCCTCGCCGAACTATAACTATGTATAACCGAACGGTCAAACTATTCGATACTCCCTACTGCCAGCTTTGTTTAGCAATACAAAACTATTTGTGCTTTTTTCGTCACTGCGAATACTCGGACAATACTTTTCCATCCTTCGTTCCGTTCTCCCATTACGACGTCGAAATATTCTCTTTGACGGACCGTTCCGTTTTTTTATTTACCCGTCGCGCCGCTTCCCTTTATCATCTTCACTCATCTACAAACATGAAAGCATCGCGCGGATAAATTTTTTTATTCCCCAACGTGAATGCATCGTTAAAGTAAAGAAGAATTTTACTGAGAAAGACACCGTGTAGAAATGATTAATTCCGTATTTGTTTCGCGCGTTTACTGACGTCGTCGTGCTGTAATCTAACGATAACGATACGACTCGCAAACTATAACTTTTCGTCGACATGTCCTGGTACAATTATTTCCAAACTGTTCCGGCTTCTCGATAAGGTACAAGGATATATTGCGCAATTCTCACTTAAAATTCACTCGATTATTAGAGTCGCGAAAGAACGCGGTCGTGCATTAGCGCCCGGTATGAACCGACTCCTCTTCAAAGTTTCCTTCTTTCTTCTCGGGTGTGAGTATTATACCGATGGACCGGAACAATTTATTTATAAGCAGAAGCATGCAGTTTGAATTTTGAATGACGTTCGTTCGACAGCGATTTGGGACCATTTCGCGAGTGCAATGACACTGTCTTCGGAAGACCGGATCGTCGGCGGAGCACCTATCGATATCACGGAAGTCCCGTACATGGCAAGTATCGTCGTAGTGAATTCTATCGATTTTCCGGTAATGCAACTAAGAGGACGATTGCTCATATTAGCTATCGTACATGGTAAACGGCCATCACGCGTGCGGTGCGACTATCATCAATAGAGAATGGGGATTAACGGCCGCTCATTGTGTCACTCCGTGAGTAACGATCCCTCTATCGAGCGGCTTATTTTTTAAGTTCACCGTTCGTTCAACTGCCGCAGATTCGTCCATAATCCTACTGTCTCAATAAGCGTTCGCAGCGGATCTAACAGACACGATTACGGCGGAGTACTTCACGACGTGACAAAACTCATTTACCACGAAAAGTACAACGAGAACAATAACGATTACGATATCGCGGTTTTCAAGGTGGATCCACCGTTCGTGTTTAACGACGCAACGCGACCTATCAAGTTACCCGAACGTTCTCATTCCTACGATACAAGTTGGGGTTTGATCGCCGGATGGGGATACTTCGTCGTAAGTTCGCTCGTCAGACAATAACGTTTCGCGTGATAAATGTAAAGTGAATGAATGTTTAGAATTCGTTTCCGAGATTATCCACGAAACTCCAATACGCCATCGTGCCAAAAGTGAACAAGGAAACGTGTATAAGAGATTACGAAGATAGTTTCGAGGTGACCAAGCATCAAGTGTGCTACGGATACTCGCGAGGAGGCAAGGACACGTGCAAGGTAAACTTAGTCTGACCGGGACAGGGTGGATTATGTCTGATTACCCTTTGGTTTCGCGTAGGGTGATTCCGGTGGTCCGTTGGTTAACAGCTTTACTGTAATCGGTATAACTTCGTGGGGCTCCGATTGTGGTCAACCGAATTCGCCTGGCGTATATACTGACGTCATCGGTCTAACCGAGTGGATTAAAAGCAAAACGGAGCAACCACGATTTAACAATTTTATTCCATTGTCAGCTTTTATGCACTTATTATTCGGTTTTTAATAAATCTATTTGAAGCTGTTAAATTTAACAATTGGTTCATTCAAGTGACATCGACTGTAATCGATTTCGGTATTCATAACACAAAACAGATAATCGTTTCGAATAAAACGAATCGACATCCCTCGATTCGATGCCTTCTGTAACGAATTTATCAGTGTTTCATACCTGGATATTTAATTTCCATTCGGTAAAATTACTTCGACGGTCTCTTTATCCTGGGACAATAGAAATCTGGCCTTTTTGTAGTTCAAGAGATTCCTCTTCCTTTGAGCCCACCACGCTTCGTATCCCAGCTTGTAAAACTTTGGTAAACGCTCGAAACCACCGGCGTCCGCTAACGAATCGTTGTATGCCCATTGTTTGTCACTCAATTTATGCGCGTGTCTCTTTTTAATTGTCTTCAGTTGCGAGTCGTCCAACATGATCGATTTCGATGGCAAACTTACTCTGTTCTCTAAGAGTGCGAGAAAATATTGTACCTAAAATATGCATTCCGTATACTGTTTCGCACGAAAGCCTTGCAGCTTGTTCAAGTACGAATAGATAATTACTTGCACGTGAAACATGGGAAATGGAACTACGACGGTAGGCACTCCGACGATACACATTGTAGGATGATCAATGTTAATCAAGTGCTTGTACAGCGGAGTTATAAAATTGTCCTCCACCTTTACGCCACAATCCGCGTTCAGAAACGGAAAGCTGAACCGATATCCGGTGCAGAACATAAATGCGTCTGCTATAACGGAACTGTCGTCCTTTAAAAATATTTTTGTTCCTTCTACTCTTTCCACGCCTGACACTTCCGTCAGATTCTGTGGTAATGTATTATTCAACCTAAACGTACATCATTAAGAATTTATCTAATAACTGATTGATCGTAATATATAATAAATCAAGCACCTTTCGTTATTGTGGCTCAAATATACTCGAGACGCGTGATTAGACAAATCTAACGCGATGTCAACTCCGGAAGAAGCTGCTCCTAGAATCAACACGCTCTTCCCAGAAAAATCTTCCGGTTTTCTGTACGAATGACTGTGGATTATCGTGCCCGGGAAAGTTTCGATTCCTGGTATCGTTGGTACGTAAGGATCAAAGTAATGTCTGAATACAAAATATAAATCTATCAGAAATTTAACGCGATACTATTTTAGAGTAAAAAGAAACGCACCCGTTACAGATCATTATAGCGTCGAAAGTAGCCTCTTCCTCGCGCTTCGTTTTAACCACTTTTATACGCACCATCCATTTCTCTGCACCATCGGGTGAAATTTCTAATCGAACGGACTCTACTCTTTTACCGAACTGCGATATCAACATTTCGTTAAAAACTGAACAACGTCGACAATGAATTGCACGTTTACGTTTACCTGAATGTGTCTAAGCAGATCAAAATGCTCCGCGTATTTTTGTAAATAACTTCGAACCTCCTGATGCGACACGCAACAAGGTTCCACGGCGTTCATCTCCAGATAATCAGGGAAATTCATAATTTTCGCTGGCAAATTGGTTCTATGATTCGAATACGAGTTTACTTTAACGCGACTTCCAATGTGAATGAATTATAATACCGATTTTAAAATGGACAACCTTAAGTCTCGGTACATGCTCGAGTGAACGGGCAAGCCGTTTTCGTCGATCCCTGTTGCCTCTTTATAAACCCATGTGCCTCCGATCTCGCTCGTCTGCTCGTAAACTTGAAACTCGAATTTCGAATTGGGTGCCAAGTGTCTGGCAGCGCACAAGCCGGCTGCGCCAGCTCCTATCACGCATACCTTTTTGCGTTGCGACGACTCGGCCATTCGCAGAATTGCACGTAACCTAGGTGGCAAAACTTATTCACAGTTACCGAGGACATCGCGCTCAGGATCGATTCGTATTATTAATAAAAAGAAAAACTATTATTTATCGTTAAACATGAATGAACATTACTTGGTATCACGCGACAAATTGCTACCCGCACAGTGTTCGCAAATTGACTTGAGAAAAGTTGAATATCGTCCGCTGATAACGTGTTTCAAAACAAATTATACACTTTTTAATTTATGCAGAAAACGTGCGTAACTAATTCCAATTATCGTGATTTCCTTTCAGCTTCCTATATATTTTCATCTCTCGCAACGCGAAATTACTTTCATGAACGAATGATATTTACATTAAAAAACGAAGAACCGTGAAACTTTGCGCATACATTATTTGTTCAATTTTGAGAGCCAAGAATTGTCGTCGTTTCGGTAATGTCATACATGAGACGGTTTTCACTATGGAATCTCTGATGAGTCGCTTACCAGTCGCACACTTTACTATGTACGTAAATTTAAATGTGTAACACTGTTCCAAGAGGTGTCAAGTTTCGCTCTTCTCCGACGAATTTGTCTTTCCGATTTCTTCCGTCACTTTTATGTCGCCCAGAAAAATTTCAAAACAGCAGGAAGGAAATGAAAACGCGGAAAAAATATGAAACCGCAATGGTCTTATCGCGATAACGTTGCGTCGCAACTTTGTACAAACCAAGTAGCGTACAGTTCGATAAGCGACTTTCTTGATAAGATTTTTCACGTACTAATTAATGTGACAATTGACATGTCTCGCGAGTGAACCATCCCCAGAAAGTAGAAGTAAAATATTTATTATAGTATTTCTTGATAACATTACCATGTAAATAATTATAACAGTAGTCTTAGAATTTATATTAATGCTCGATATTAAATTTAATCGTATCTATTATTGAGCAATTAATTATAAAGAATCTATCTTACAGCTCTGTGTTATATCTCTACGCACGGTTTTCAGTCGACGTCGTACTATCAAATAAACGGATTTACTCTTACCGCATTAAGAATTGTTTCTTTCCCCTTGGCAAACATTCGACAGACATCTCGTACATAAAATCCATTTTTAAGTAAACTGCTTTGCAGTTCTATCTACCATGTAAAAATACTTTCTATTCGTATATCAAAGGAAACACGCAAATATTAACTAAAACGTTAAAAAACAATTGGTGTCGACATTAATTTAACGGGAAATCAATCAAGTTTAGCGCCATGAATTCTGATTATCTAAAGAGGCGGCGAGATTGTGACAAAGGGAAAAACAAAGCGATAAATAATTGGTGCATAATGGAAGTCCGTAGTACGTATATGCAACATACAAGAGTTATGTTTCTAACTCGATAAATTCTTTCGCACCTCTGATATTGATAGTACACTCGAACGCTCCAACCCTCGTTAGATTATCCGTGAAATCGATAAAAAGAAACTTAATTATTAATCCATAATGTAAATTTAATACAACTATGTAAATTATAAAGTCGACCCCTAATGCGAACAAGTACAAGATTGCGTAGGTAAAAGTCAATCGAACACACACAATAAGGTACAGTGGGGAATTGATTACTTCCAAACAAAGAGATATGTATATAAAACGTCGATAAACATTTACGAAGTTAATACATTTTGTTAAGCCAAAAGATAATAGTTCAATATAGCCATGTATCTGTTTGAAAGATCGTATTTCGTTGAACTTCGTCACCAACGACATAAGTAACAAATTATGAGAATTCAATGAAAACAATATTAACATGAACATTCCAACAAATATTTCAACAATAATCTCTCGATTTTCCCTCCATTCTTTTACTCGTTTTCATTGTCAGTCTATTGATCTTTCATATGTATATCTATGTATGAATACACGCCTAATTATGATTCAGCGTTGAACGTAGAGTACGAAAACCAAATCATTATAATCGGGTATACATTGGAAAGAAAGATGATGAACGACTTCGTCTGCTCGAATACTGTACGTACAAGAATAAAAAACCCGAAGGTATGTTCAGCGAAATAAGAAAAGGAGAAGGATAACGCTAACGTTGACTATCTGTACAATTAATTCGACTCGCCAGATAACTTTCCTCTTTGCATTACTTCACGCTTTAAATATACAACGCACACGATCGGTTTATCAAAAGTTGCAGTTACGGCTATCGCTAATAGCTTTCATTCTTCTCTTCCCCCATTTGTTCGTTCTTCGCGTATAATGCGAACATGCTTAATTACTTAAAATATTACGGATCATAAAATTCATTCGAAAATTAAATGTTTGAATTTCCAGATCTACGTATCTAATCGATCCCTGTTTATTTTCCGAAGAACATCTGATGCATCGAATAGAAAAACGTAAAACTATGGACAGATTGGGATCCAACAGGCACAGTTAACGAGTATTTCTTTTACGGCAATCGCTACGCGAATTCGACAAAGGGCAGTAAAAGGAGCATAATAATATCTTTTTAGTCGTATCGTGCCTCGTACGTCTTTTACATAAGCTTTGGCAAACACGCTCCATTCCTTTTTAATTATACGAATAACTACGGTAATCGTGTCTTATTCAATTATCTTGAGTTCGTCGTATTTGATCCAGAACTCGAACGAAAATTGACCAAAGAAGGTGAAGTGGTCAAGTTTCCTTCAAGTTAAAAAACATTTTACTGATACGGATTTTATGCCCATTGGGCAGATTAATTATTTTCCAAAACTCGCGTAAGGAAGTAGAGTTATTAAAAATATATGATAAACAATTCGTCCTGATTTCTCTATGTACATATACAAAATTGATTATTCGACGAATATATAAACACGTTCGGACTAATTAACGTGAAGTAATAAAAATTTATGTACTGTACAATCCATAGAAACGAAGGGGGGATAGAAGAAGAAGGGAATCAAACGGAAATATTTTATACAAATATGCTTTTTTACATCTACTTAGAACGCGTTGCAGCTTCAGCCGCACACGATCGTATCGAACGCGCGTCAACGAGATTCTTTACACAACGTCGTCGGACTGTATAGATAAGTATATCGGACGCGCAGCAAAAGCGATCGTAACATTTTATATAGGTATGTGTATGTATGTATATTTGGCGTGAACCTTTGATTCGTAGTGCTGAATGTTTACTTACTAAAAATATAGTATCCGTAATCTCGATAAAAAACGATCTTTATATCAATCATCAGTGGAAATTTAGCATTTTCTTTACAAACGATAAAACTCGTTAAACAGCCTAATAATCAAGACGCGGCGAATAACACCCAAGTAAAGACCTAAAAACGTTTTGCTTCGGAGCAAAATGCTTTTAGATTTGCATTAGGCATTGGACGCTAGCTCAAATACATCGACGCCCTGAACCATTCTGATTCCAACGACGTACCTGAACTTCATGTGCATCCGTTTAAAAACATGCGCACAATTATCATCTACGATATTTGTTCGCCGATCGGTTATTTAAAAACCGACGAATACATGTCCCTCGGGGCACTGAATAGAACAAGCATAGCTGAATTCTATGTATACTGTACATGTACATACATCGCACAATCGAAAATATACTCTTCCCACGTGTGCATTACGTACACACGTATGTATAAAATTGCTCGTCGTTTTACGAACACACTGAAGATCGTTTACTTCCGATCGTATGATAAAGTCCTCAGTCGAATTGACGATGATAATTCGATATACACGCTTGTATATGATGTAAAAAAAACTTTACTTATCGTAGGATCACGTGTGATCGTGCGTACAGTAGGCCGCCAAGACAATCTCGTGAGAACAAGATTTTTTGTTCCTCCAGTTTTGTTCTCGGGCGGAACGTTCATCGGGCGGATTTTATGGATTGTACCAAGCGATATATTTTTAATAAGATCGTCGTAAGAAATTCATTACACATCTTGTATGTAACAATTCGTATTTTACATGCAAAATATACTTTAGTAAGTAAGAAAAACTGACTTTTGTGTGTTCTTTTTCTTCTCTTCCTCGAGAGGCTTGACGGCGGTGTTGTTGCCCGGTCATTGCAACATCGGTTCATGAATAGATCATTTGAATTCCATGAAAGTGAAGAACAAAATTCCATGCGCCGAACAATCGCACCCTATGCGTTCATCATACCTTACGTTGTCGATCGTTTTCCTTTATAACTAAAGCCTTTTACACGAATTCGAACGATCGAACGAGCAATCCTGTAAACAACTCCCAGTTCGACTTTCGAATTACCTCGATATCTGCGGCTCTGTTACGCTGTTCATATCGTCATTCTTACTTCAGATTGTTTCAACAATGACTCGATTAACCCTCGCTTACGGAAGACAGCGAACTTCGAGTAGAACCGACCGTGTGATGCGTCAAATCCGGAAGATCTGCTGGCAAGCATAGTGGTATCGCGCTTGGCCCGTAAATAGCCTCTTGTTCTTCTAATTGTAATGCGAACTGCTCCTCTAGTTTCTGTAATGGAAAATTGAAAGAATTAGTATAAAACGTCTATTACGTTACTTAACAACCGATAGATATTATATTGTATCTTATCTAGAATAATTAAAGTATACGGATTTTGTAGAATCGCCGGGTTAATCATTTACTTTCTTAAACGCTTATGCTATATTTTTTGTTCGCTTTAGTTATATTGTTATTCGTGTTAACAGATGGGTTTTTTGGACTGACCTGTTGATTACCTAGTACGTCGATCGTTTCGATCATCCGGTCGTGGAATCTCTTTCCCGACATACTATCTGTTGGATTCTTAACGAAAGGAGATAACTTAACGAATAGGGAAGTAACGTAATCCAACGTACACATTGGAAACATTTACATATACACGAAAATACCCCTGATGTATGTAATATAAAGCGATTATGATCGTACATTTTACTACGTCCGATAAATATACAACATATATAGCCCAGTAAACAATTATCACCGATTCACCCTGTTATGAATTTTACTTAATAACCAGAGAGGAGAAGCTTCTCTCTCGAAACGCGACGATCACGTATGCATATGTTAACGGTAATGATACAACGAACGATAAGACTCTAATTAAACATAGACTCGGCACAAAAGTGTCGCCCGTTTCATAGTTAAGCAATCTAGGATTACGTACGAGTACTTGGTGATACTCTGTTAACTCTACCATCGTTAGTCGAACGTCCTACATTGCTTCAGAGTTTAGCTACAACTTTTACGAATGCTCTTGTGCACGGACGAACCTTGTAACGTCGCAACGTGCTCTTTTTATTCATTTTTCCTTGTGCAAAATTTCATTGATAAATTAATTAATGCCAACAACACAGTTTTGTTTAATATTTAAATGCTTAGGAAAGAAAACTATACATTTTACTTAACTTAAATAAGCTCTTATACAATTGTCGATACGTGTACATACTTGGCTTGGCTTTTTAAAGATTCCCAAGAGTTGCGACCACTTGTGCGTGTTACAAATTAAGTAGTCTCTCTGCAATATATTATTACTCGTTCAAATGTTACTCCGCGTATAAGCCCAAAACAATATATATACTTTCCTTTAACTTGTTATACAAAAATACATGAAACGCACGTAAGTGGGTGTGTGCGCGCGTATATACATATGTGGTACACATGTAATATACAGCATTTGGGAAGGCGGTAAATACGTATTACTACATAATGGAAGCAACATTAAGTAAAGCGGATGTTACTTTAAAATGCGTGAAACACAATGAGAGGCGCTCTGAAATAAAAAAAAAGGAATGCTCAAGAAGTAATACATAAACGTACTTTGAAGTAAATGTTAAATTCATCAGATGTCAAGCTGATACGCGCGAAAATGCTTTTATTTGAAAGCTCCTCTCGACAAACAACGAAAATGTTTCGGGAGGATGCACAATGGGATCAAGAACAGAGGAGTATTATCTACGAGACAAAGGGGATGGCACTAGGTCTGGTTTGGAATGACTTCGCGATAGCATGCCGTTCGTGGAAGCGGTGTCCGAACCACCAACTCTCAGCGACACACGAGGAATGGTGAACGGTGAGGGAGAATTCGGAGTGGAGCGGGGCAGACGCGGAGACTTCCTCCAGGGGTCAAAGTTAAAGGGCGGGGGGTACTCGAAAGGGGGAGAAGAGAGACCGCTAAGACCCGAGGGCAAATAGTCTCGGTAACGAGCTTCCAACGCTTCCATTTCCGCCTTCAGCTCAGCTTCTAACTTCTATAACAAGTACATTAAGACTTTATTTCAGTATGGCTGCGTGCGCTTTGCCAGAAATTCGAATAACAATCGCGGTAGATTCGTATCTCTTCCCGCTTTGATGACTGATCACTCTACGATCAACAGGAAACGGAAACCTACAACTTGCAGCACGCGCAATGCAGGAGATAATAGCAAAGAAAAAAAAGAAAAAAAGAAAAAATAATGAAATAATAGATGCAAACAGACAGGGGAAGAAGAAGAATTACGAAAAATGTGTAACAGAAAATAGCGAGAGAATAAATCTACCTGCTTTCGAGGCTTGAGTTGCGCCTTCCATTCGCGGAGCTCCTTACTATACGCCTCTTCCAATTCCTTTAACTTAAGAGTCTCGTGCTCCATCAACATCTTTCTCTTCTCATTCTGCAATTGCTCCAGCTCCTTGATCGTGGCGTCGCTTTGCGCTCTTACCTCCTCCAACTGGCGTGAATGTTTCAACTCGAATCTCTGTTGTTCGGCTCTATATCGTTTCTTCTCGTTCTCCTGGAAATTTTTCAATTTCTCCCTCTCGGCGTCGGGATCAGGAGCGATAACCGACGACATCGAAATTCTCATCGATTCCCTGAACATCATCTCCCGCGCTTTCATTTCGTTGCGAATTCTCTTCGGCAAATTTCTACGTTCGACCGTCTGTCGTTTTATCAACTCCTCCTCCTTTCGCTGATTCATTCGCTTCATCTGCTCCAATTCCTTCTCATGGCGAATCAGCATTTGATGTCTTTGCAAGAAGAAAATATCCTTCAGCTGTTTTTTCAACAGTTGCTGCTTCTCGTGTATATGCCGTTCCTCTTGCTCCCAAATGGCCGCCTCTCGGGCTCTCATCAATTGTTGTTTCTGCTGCAGGAACTGTCTCTCCATCAGGGCGATCTTTTCGCGATGACTGTCAGATAATCTTCTCAACGATAATTCGTGGCTTTCGTTAAGCTTATCCAAGAAGTGCTTCTCCCTCTCCTCGTGTTCGGTCTCCAATTTCTCTTTACGAATCTTAAACGCACTCTTTCTCTTGTCTTTCGGCATTAGATCTACCTCCTGCTTAAGCAGTCTGAGTTCTTGCTTCAAACCTTCGCGGAACTGTTTCAGGTCTCTTTCCTGCTCGCTACGTATTTTTTTCGAGGCGAGTCTAAGATCGGCTTCCTGTTGCGCCTCGGCTCGCTCGATCTGCTGTCTCTGTTGCCGAGCAAGTGTTTCCAAATCTGCTTCTGCATTCCGTTCTAAGAGCTGTCTTTCTTGTTCGAAACGTTTCTCCTGCTGATCCTTGTTGAACTGTGCCTTCTGCGACAAATCTTGAAACTGTTTCTGTTCCATCTTCTGCAGCATTTTCAATTCCCTTAGCTCTTGCTTCCTGAAGATCTGATCGTCGTAGACTTTGCCGTTCTCATCGTCGCCGTAGATTACCTTTGACGTTGTCGTGGTAACTACAACGCCATCGATCTCAAACTTTCTGGTTCGTTTCCTCGTCTTTTTCTTCAGATTCATCATCTGAATGTCTTCCTTCGTTTTCGCCTGTCGTTGCATGTCGCGATTGTAATCCGGTTTTCGTCGTAGCACCACTTCCTCTTCACCCTCCGTCGTTTGCCCCTGAATCAGACGATTTTCTTTGCTGGATTCCCTGCTGTCCTGACTAATCGTCGTCGAAATTGATTCCGCGTCGGAACGGTCGATGCTCTTACTCGGGGTGTGTGATCTCGTCGATCCGGATTCACTCTGAGACCTAGATCCTTCGAAGCTATCGGGAGACACTCTCTTCTCCTTATACTCTTTACCAGTCTCCTTCTGTTTGATCGGTTTCAAGACTTTCTCGTCGATGCGTCCAACGACCCTGGTCTTGTCATTCTTCAACATACCGTTCATCTTCCTCGAGTTTTTATCCATATTGTCGATATCCACGGACTCTACAGTCGTTCCAGCGACTATCATTTTGTTTATTTCATCTCCACTGTCGCTCTTCGTACTTGATCTCTCAATCAGACTTCCATCGCTGTGAGACGAACAAGTTCGTGCGGCCTCGTGTTTATTAAGTACCGAAGAGTTTTTGACTCGCTGCTTGTCGTCACCGACAGTAACGACGGAAACGTGACTAGTATCCTGTAATTCGTCCACGATCGGACTTACAATAAGAACCTCTGATTCGTCCAGTTTCTTGCCGACTCTCTTTGAGACGTCGGTGAGAATTATAGGTTGTTCCTGTGGAGTATATTCCAAACTGTCCAAGCTGGGGAATCCATCATCGTCGGCCGAATTTTCGTTCACTTGCGTCCTGTTCAATTCGTTTGCAACGATCACGACTTCGGACGTCGGTGACGGACGACAAGGGAGGGACGCGGCAGCCGGTGACACAGCGTCGACGAGAACCGGAGGATGAGTTGTTACCACTGTTACTTGGCTCACATTGCTTGCAAGACTATTAGATAAATCTGGACTTTCTGCTGTGATCCGGACGGTAGACGTGTTTGGACGTATTTCTTGGTCGGATTTACCTGGAAATTTACGAAGTGTCTCTTTAGTCTCATAATTTTTTTTCAAAATATTATTCGAGCAATGATCGAACGTTACTATCGTAATAATATATGACATTATCTTACCAGTGATGACGACTACGTTGTCACCGCTGCCTCTCCTCGTAATACTTCTACTTCTAATCGGAGTTGACGTGATTACCGATACGTTCACCGCTGAACCTCTCTTTTCACTTTCGGTATTCACCGTATTCTCATAATTGTATTCTCTACTTGGCCACTTTTTCTTCTCACGTTTCCCATCGAATTCATCGTTGAAGTTCTCTAACGAAACGTATCTAGAAGATCCCTCACTATGACTTTTAACGACAGATTCAGGCTTAGATTTTCCATAATCTGTTTTAACGTCTTCGGTAGAACAAGCTTTCACAATATTCTTTTCAGGTGGGGTACCCATTGAAACTTCTCGATGAGACAATGTCTCCATGGAAGACACACTCATACGCATTTCAGTGTCCATCGAGAATCGTTTCTCCAGAACCGCGTTCAGTTTATCCTCTACCGATTTTCTCTTCTCTTGTAAACTCTTGTAATTCTCTTCTATCACGGATTGTTTCTTAGATTGTAATTCGATCGGTGTTTTCTTCTCATTTCTGAAATTATATACTCTACGTACATATCCAAAGTCATTAATTAAAAAAGTGTATATTATCTAGACGTAATTGAAATTAATATAAACAAATACCTGCTCTTCTCCTCTAAGGATGACTGCTTGTTGAACACTGGTTTCGTCCAGTCTTCGGTCAATTCTGTTTTAACAGGAGCAGATTTTCTCTTTTCTTCTAATGTTAACTGCGGTCTCAACGATGAATTTACTTTACTATCTACCAACTGCTGTTTAACGTCTTTATTGGATTCGCCTAGCTTGTTTCTCTCTCTTTCGTTACTTTCAGATACATTTTTCTCTAAACTACTTAATACGTTCGGCTTCTCGCAAGTTACATCTGGATTTGCCTGTTCCTTGTCCACCATTTCCTGGGCCGATTGCAACGATTGATTTCTATCTCGTTGCTGTTTATCGCTAACCTTGGATTCATCTAACGCCTCTACATCACTCTGTTTGTCTGCGATCTTCGGAATATTTTCTTTATCTTCGGTTTTGCTATTTTGACGTATAAGGGGCGGTGGAAGAGGTGCCGGGCCTTTTTCTCGAGATATTCTACGTTCGCTCGATTCATTTGTACTAGGAGGTTTCGGTGCCTGAAAAATAAGTGGTGTTATTATCTACCTACTTCTATAAAAAATATTGGCGAATGAACTAAAAAAAATTGTACTTGTTTCTTCTCAACAGAAACGGGTATGTTGTCTTTTGATTCTGCTTTACGTAATTTCTTGTTCCTGTCCTCCTTTTCACCTTCTCTATTAATCTCTCGTTTATTGCTTTCTTCTTTTTTCGCAGACACGGGTGATGCCACAAGATTTTCCTTTTCAGAAACTACAAAAAAGAAAACAAATAGATGATTATCCCAAGAGTATATAATTTGTTCATTGAGAATATTATACTTACTCTTAACATCAGCGTCACTGCGCATAGATGCAGAGTCATCTCCGAGTTGATCCAGCTCCAGAGGAAGCTGTGACGTGCGTTGCTCCTGAAATATCAATTTTTTTGTTATTCATAAATAGATATTTAATATTAACTCCATAATCCGTAATTGACAATTGCCAGATTTATGAAAAGTACAAATCGTAAATACCAAAAAAATACAAAATGGTATTCTTACATATAATGTGAAATACTTATTCTGTATGAATGTGAAACGAAAAAGTGAGATTGCACAGACAAAAACTTAATAAAAAAAACTTAATGTACTTGTAAAATACACCGTAGTCGAATAAAAGTACGAATAGATACATAAAAATGCGTACGCATTGCAATTGTGACCAGGGATAAAAATAGCAAAGATAATAAAATGATATATAAATACAAAGGAATCCATATAGAATTCAGACTAAACAGCATTTATTGCATAAGCTACTGACCTGACAAACGCAGGGGTGATGGGGCTGGCGAGGCCCAGGAGAGCCGCATGCACAGCCAAATTATCCAAATTACAATAACAACTTTATTAGGATGTCATTAGATTAGATATTAAAAGGGGACAAATAGATGTTTGGTAACTCTTTTATAATTACAATTAAAAATAATTATTGCACAATAACGATAACTCAAATACTTGTAAATTTCAAGTGAATATAATTTCATCTCATCGATTTTACAAATTAAAAAAGACAAGCATGATTCCATAACGCATGCATGAATTTTCTTAAGACTTTATTCATGTCCGTCATGCGTGAATAAAGCAAAGTATCGTGAATGGTTCAATGAGAGAGTGAAGTGAAATTTAGTCAAGACCACATATATAAATAATACTATCATAAGTATAAACTTTACAAAACAGCTTTCGTTTATCGATTGCTTACAAATGACTAGAAAATTTGTACAATGGAAATTCGTGTCGGTTTGTTTAAAAGCAGCTTACCAATCCGTTGATATTGTTCTCTGTGTTTTTTCGCCTTTTTGGCCTTCTATCAAAATGAAAGCGTGGAACAGGGTACATATATACATGTTAATCCCCTTTATCTAAAGCTATGTACATTGCTGGCAATTAAAGAATCGCTAAGTGCTCCAGCAATAAAACATTTCTTATATATCTCTTTGATATTGACCACTCATTTATGCAGCTTTCAATCATATCCATCACACTTCAAAGAACAAATTGAGACACATATTAATAAAAGAATTACCTCTGTTTCTTCGTCAACCAATTCTTCTTCAACGACGTCGGCTTTGTACTCCAATAACAAATCCCTGACCGGCTTCGAATCCAAATTACGACTTATGAAAGGATGTTTCAATAGATCTTCTGCTGTAGGTCGCGACGTTGGATCCTTTATAAGGGCCTTTGCGATGAAATCGTTGAATTCTTTGCTCCACTTTCCAGGCTGATCAAGTTTTGGTGGATCGCTCTTTTGTATCTTAAGTAGGACACGCATCGGTGACATTTCATGATTCGGCGGTTCCATTTGGGCAAACTCTATTAAAGTAATGCCAAGCGACCAAATGTCTACCTACATATCAAGTAACATGTCGTTTTAAGAGGTATAAGAGGTTTTAACAGATCAGTTTTAAAATTGACTATATGCATAATTTAAGAATACAGTATTTACCTTAAAATCATAAGGATTATCTCTGAACGTTTCGCATAACACTACTTCTGGAGCCATCCAATATGGTGTTCCAATGAACGTGTCGTGCTTTTGTAAGGTATGTTTATTTTTTGCAGACACTCCGAAGTCGGCTGCAAATGACAAAATGAGTCTCCTTATAAATTATAATTAAGAGTATCTAAATACGAAGATCTTACCTAATTTCACTCCACCAGCCATTGTTAACAAAACATTTCCTGCCTTCAAATCCCTGTGAATGACTTTAGATTTGTGTAGAAATGCAAGACCTTTGGTCATATATTGACATATGTAAGCTATTTGCGGTTCTGTTAAAGCTTTCGCTAACTCAACCATTATGGAATCAACAGCACCTCCATCACAATACTCTATCAACATCTACAAGTTTCATCGGCGACGTTATACAAATTATAAAACGAATCTTAACACCAACAAGTGTTAAATAATTGCAAATCATACCCATAATTTGCCCTCAATAAAATACGCCTCGTGTAATTCAACAACATTCGAATGTTTGCACTCAGATAAAATATCTATTTCAATCATAAAATCACTGAGATCATCCTCTCCCTCTAGGGCACACATTTTTGCAGCGGCAAGCTGATGAGTCTGCCTGTGCTGTGCCTGTGAAATATATTAACTCTTTAATAAATTAAGTGATTGTACAAAAAGGAATTAAGCGATCAAATCATACAGAATGTTACCTTATAAACTTTCCCAAATGCTCCATCTCCCAGTTCTCCTATCATTTCCCAGAATTCTTCTGGGTTACAGTCCATTTTAATATTATTATACAATTTCTTTTTCTTGGCGTCATTTCCACCGAAGTGGAATGCCTTCTTTAGATTCGATAAGAATGACATTTTTGCGATACTTATTCAATATGTACACATGTATAAAAGTTACACTTCTTATTACATCATGTCAAAAGACTCAATGACATTTATCATTAGCAACAAACGTGTATCTTAACGCTGCATCTGGATATAAATCTCATGCAGTTATCCAATAATTTATTGTAATAGAAAAACAGTTGTATAATGTGCATATCTTCTTACATAAACTCTTATATACACTCCATTATATTAATACATTTTCTAATGAAATAGAAAATGTTTTAAGGACAAGTTTTTTGTTTATTTCCCTGTTTTATACCAGGGGATTGTATCAAACCTCTCCCACATTTTGATAACATATAGTCAATATACACTAATGAATAGGTAGATTATTTATGTAAATAATAATGCACATAGGGAAACCCATTATTAATAATCTTTTACTTTTACTTTCAATATATTTTACTGAAATTACGAACGCTGAAAAGAAAGAAGAACTATTGTTAGAAATTATTATACGCTTTTTGTCAACATTTTAATATAAATACGGATAAAATAATAATGTTACTGAGAACGTACTCATTGCTATGGTAGTGCTAATTAACAAATAGTAATCATTTGATAAAATGAAGAACGGTAGAACAGATAAGGAGCTTATCATTAGATATCACAAACGTAACGTACGATGAAAGTAACATTTCTATATATGAACATACATTTTATCAATGGGATTGATTGCATTAACACTATTACATACACATCGTTACGTATTTAATCCGAAACAATCTTTAAGAAAAACAATCTCATGTACTTATCAGATAAAGAATAAAATACGTTTCAAGCAAGAATAAGGAGTAAAGACACTTTCTACGAAAAAGAGATAGATCAAAAATCTGGTTAAAATGTCAAAATCGTCGGTCACGAGGTTGACACAATTTTGACAAGTAATCTACAGCCGTATCTGTCCGCCATCGTTTTGTAAATACACTTTCCCCGTCCTATGTGTGTGGAAAGTATACGGAAGGTAAAATTTGTCAAAACGAAGTCGAATCGGAATCATATGTCTTCGAATTTGAAAAACAATTCGACGTAAGAGGCGATACGTCCGTGAGTTTCGAACGTGAGGATAAAGATTCTTGTAAAATCATCTCTATGCTGTTTGTGTAGCCTGCAAAGGCCGAGGAATTTCTTTTAACTCGATCACTCGTATAAAGTAATAAAACGTTGTAATCTGAACAATACGAAACAGTGACACGGATAGGTCACCGGAACAATATCGGAGCGAAGAGTATCGACAAATTTTTCGCTTGAACAGTTCGATTTTTGAAAAAAATCTGTAGACACAGCCTCTGGCTCACCTTCTCTCTTAATGATCCACCGTTGACGAAATGGGCACACACCGTCTCGGTTTGTGACCGTCGACTAAACTTCCCGTACTGCACGATATCACGAACTGCGCATACCATCGAAAATTTCACCGTCCGAACTGAAACGTCCAAAGGAACGTGAAAAGTATCGTAAAATCAGCAAACTAGACGGACCCGTACGTACACGGCCATTTTCAGTAACACACGCATATCACACATTTCACTGTACCACGCCTGGAAGTGACGTAATCAATCGGCAAGTGTGCCTGTATTCTATAAGAGATTCTCGAATTTCTAAATTGATTCAATTTTTTTTCTGTAGAACGACGTTCCACTGTGTTCGTTGAAATACACTTAACGATGATCAGCATACCAACGATTATCATTAAGAAATAAATTACAGTCGAATTCACGTTCCATTTAAACCCACTATTCTATCCCAATTTTAGGACGACACAATTCTCCAAGTAATCTTATAATGAAAATCTGTTTATATATTCACGAAAATTAGACAGGCTTATAATATTAAATTACGAAATTGATTTTACGACCCAGACATACCGCTGCGACTACGGAAACCTTATAAATACGTGTAATCTTGTTAAAAGCACTGTTGTGATACAAAACATTCTTAGCACTTCGCTATACAATTACAAGGGGATCAATTATATGGAAGATACTTGATACTAAGAAAGTTATTGTTAAAACAAAAAATCTTTTCAAATTATTTAAGTAGCGTGGAAGCAAATAACGTGAATGCAGTAAACAAATGTTCAGACACAGGTTTACCAAAATCTATACGTAAAACATAAAACTACGCTCCCTTTAACTGTCTCACTGCTGCCTGCTGCTGCCCTCAATGCAGCTATTCCTAACCCACTCTTATTCATAAATATAAATAAAAACTGTTCACAGGCATGTGAATAATATGTACATTGCAAAAGGTATTTTTCATTCGTAACGTGTTTTATATAAAAATTGTAACTTCCGTGTGATTAGATACTTTAGTCTGTAAAAAATACGTAACTGTTTGTTACTCAAGTCACATTTAAACATTCGTATGTTCGTTTGTGCAAATATATTTAAAATACACGTGTTATTAATGTCATATAATTAATTTTTAATGATTAATGTAATTCCTCAAGGTACCACGATAGAACACTAAAATGCCTGGAAAGGAACGACATTTGATACGGACAATCCTTCGCAATTTTGTTGACTCTATAACACCAAATAACAGGAAGCCTAAGTTAATCGGTGAAGATTATTATGGCACGAAATATTATGAAATGCAAAACGCAGTAAATACCTCGAAACAGAAACCAGCTCGATATTTTGAGCCTGTGAACAAAAATGATTTTGAACAGAACGTGCCCGCGGAATGGGAAGCGTGGTTACGATTTCGTAGGAAAGAGCCACCAACTGTGGAAGAAGTAGAAGCAAATTATAAATTACAATTGTTAAAGAAAGAGAGAGCTGCACAATTAGAAGCAACATATTCTGAAAAGAAACAGTTGGATGTTCCTGCTAAAGATGATGAAAAATCATTTCCTGTTTACGAGGAATATAAAAATTTTGGTAAAGATTATAAGGTGAAATATTAGAATTTTGAGTTGGGAATAAATAATTAGACGTAAATAACATACCTCTAATTTAATCATTATGCACGTACCTCTGGAATGTGCAAAATTAATGAAATGTCTAGTAAATATGTACAAACTTTATTGTAACATATAGTGGTATTATGACATAATTTATGCATGTATTACTTGTCTGTAGTCTATGAATAAAACAATTCTCTGATACCCTATATCTCTATGCATATACACTTGGACATAATCTTCAGTAAGTTGTAAACTAATTCTCTTCGAACAAAAATAAACAGTAGTGATACTAAATTTAAACGGAATATCTATCGTTCTTATACACAGCTTTCATGGTAGTGTTCGTTCAATCTTGATCTCTCTCGTCGAGCACGACTGCTCGAGAATTCATTTTAAACGTGTCATCTTATCACGTGTTGACAAGACCAGTTCTGATTGACCTACTGACTTTAAATGTAGGGAAGTCTAGATGAATCAAAAATTAGAAGTCCTAGTAAAGAACTAGTCCTTTTCGAAAGAAGACAGACTATGATTGTTGAGACTTTCAAGAAGTAGTATGTACTTCTCGCATTAACGTACAGAACATCAGTCAACGATAGTTATAAATTCTTTCGTTCGAAAGAAACTGACGGAATTGAGAAGGTGCCAAGTACCTCGTGATCAACCAGAGAAGTCACTATTATCGAACAGAGCTTGATCATATAGTTCTCCCTTTACTAATCGGCCACCGAAGTATCGGCCATTTAAGGAATCTCTTGCACGCTCCGCCTCTGAAACAATTATAGAATATAGATATAGGAAAACACAGGGCATCGAAAATAGAAACAAATAATTGCGTCACAAGCTTACCGCTCATCTGAGAGAATTCGACAAAAATTTTTACAATAACTTCTGCGTCTTCGTCATCTTCGGATTGTCGTTCATTATAAATAATAACCCTTTCTACAACTCCGAACTTGGAGCATTCATCTTGAATCTCTTCTTGTAAACTCTCGTCCACATCTTCCGGTGCAACCATATTTCGTAGTATAACAACTCGGGATTCAACTTTGCGCATAAGTTTCTGCATAACAAGATGACGTGCGCTTTGTCCTTTGATCGACATGTTTTCTTGTTGTTGCAACGTTTGCGGTTCCGTTTCTTCTAGCAACTTCTTTTGTAATTCCTCTTGCTGTTTCTGGTGAGCTGCCTGCTCTTGCGCTCGCCTCATTATATCGGTATTTGTCGTGGTTGTAACTGGTATCTGGCAACGCGTTATTTAGAATAATTCAAATGCCATCACCATTTCATATGTGCATTCGAACTTACTATACTTACAACTGGAGTTCCGACTATGGTAGGTGCAACGACAGCCGGAGGTGGAATGACAACTGGCTGACCAGGTATGGGTTGTATTATCGCTGGAGGCCGAGTTAATGTTTGTGGTATCGCTATACCAGGCGGAGGTATAACAGGCGCTGCTGTTGCTATAGTAGGCGGTGCCATTATTGTCGCGGGGGCAATTGTTGGTCTTACTATGCCGGGCAAAGCTATGTACAAGATATGAAGAAAAACCCTTAAGAATACATCAATCATTTAAATTAATTTTGAATACATACCTTGATTTAGGATCGGCGGAGCAGCTGCTCCGAGTTTCGTCAAACCAAGGGCAACTGCATTGCTAGCTACCGCGTCCATCGCTTGAATCTTTGCGGTTGCAGCAGCAGCTGCAACAGCGGCTGCAGTGGGCATCATACTGGTTCCGCTGGGCGGACCCATAAGAGCATTTGGTGGTGTGATAGCTCTGCCCACTCGCAAGTACTGTCCGCCTAGGTCGAATAAATTCATCGACGCGATAGCTTCTAGGGCAGCTTGCATAGTCTCGTATTCGATAAAGCCGTATCCTTTGTGTCGGTGAGGTGAACTTCCTTGCGCTAGTTTGCAATACGTAATAGGGCCAAACGCTTCGAATACGGATTTAATGTCATCTTCGGTTAAATCTTGATGAATAGACGCGATGTAAATGCGATTATAATGTTTACTCTCCTCAGTAATTTCATCTATGACCGATTGAGCTTGGGGCATGTTTGACGGGCGCCCCACAACCTGAAGATAACAAGAAGATTCAGAGAAAATATTTTCAACGATAAAAATAATAATATTTGTAACGAATCTGTCTAGAGTATCAATATCTTAATTAAAAAAATACATATTTGGAATCAGGACTAGGAATAGAAGCTACATTTTCTTTGCTTGACTTTACTTTTTCTCGCTTTGAATTATCATAATGGTAGAATCGATTGCTATGTACTAAGTAAAAAAAAGATTTCGTATCGGATAAGACTAAATAAAAATTTGCCGACCTCCGGCGGGATGATAGGATTGCAGGGGGACAGGAAATTCGTTATATAGGTACGTCCCGCTACCTTGATGTTACGTCCACCAATCATGACACCATTCATTTGTTCCAAAGCAAGTTGTGCTGCTTCAGGTATCTCGTATTCGACGAACGCAAATCCCTTGTGCTTCTGCGTAACAGGATCCCAAGACATGTTGATCGACTTTATAGGACCAAAAGGCAAGAAAGCTTGCCTGATCGTATCCTCTTTTAATTCGAAACTGATGCTGCCCACATATACCCTGTCATATAGGAATTTCATTTCAGATGTCTCAATTGCCCTTTCTTTATATCAAACCGAAGTTTTTCCTTTCTCTTTCATTTGTTTTATCTATTTCTATAGCGTACAGGCAATTCTATCTTTTCGAAGTTGAGTACAAAGGAAAAGAAACATTTCAACAATTTAAGCATATTGAACAATACGAATAGATATTGCAAATGTCAATTTGCAGTATAGTAATAATTAATACGCTAATTTAGATAGTATACGATCTTCTCAAATTCTAGAGGAAATTCTCTTAGTACAATACTCAATTTACTTATCGCACCAATTCTTGATAGGAACAGTACGTATTCAATTATCAAATAATAAGAATTCTTATAAAACCTAGAGTTCAATTTTAAAGATAATATAAAATGAATATTGAAAATTATATCTTCTACTTGAGACGATGAATCTCGAGGGCGAAATTCGGAGGGCTAAGACAAAGAACAAACAAACCTGCACATGAGGGCGAGAGCCTGCTGTCTCTGCACCTGATTCCGTTGACTAGCCATTTGCTGCAACACAAAGGACCATAGGCCTTCTATTGATATCCCTCCCCCTTACATACACCGTGTCTCGTTCATCTCAAAAATTCCCCAAGCTCTTTTACCATTCCATCTTCGTTGCTCAACTACTCTTTTTCAGGAGATTACAGGCTTGCATTTTTTTAAACAAAGTTAGGAAACATATGAATTCAATATCTGTACAACTAAATACCAGATGCACCATGAAACTGCACTTGAGAATGTTTTGGCTCGTATCCAGAACACGATGTTAAACGTGTTAGTTTCTTGTTCAATCAAAGTCTCGATATTATGTTACAAAAACTCCAAGTTAAACCGATGAGTAAGCTGTTAATAACAAATGTTCAAGTTAAAGTAAACTGAAACCAGAAAATAATTCGATTTTTAACGTTGTATTCCAAATACAAGCCAGCAAGCTTTAAGTAACGTTCGACAAGCTCGTTGAAAAGAAAAGAAACGAAAGAGTAGTGGAGCTCGGAAGTGCGTATCGATTATTTTTTATTCTCAAATCGTCCAGAGATTCATGCACAAAAACTTGTCCTCCTTCGCGTTGGTACAGCTCTGCTCCCGCCGACTACTATCTCAATATATCTAACCTTCGCTTACAGTAGTAACTCAGGGAAACGTTTAGGAGTGTTTGATCATAAGGCGGTTTTCGTATCGTTTCTGTCTTGACTTGGTTGACACTAACCTGCACATTAGCAATAAAACTTGCTGCCGCAGGACCAACTTATTCTTCTGCGGGGAGAAAAAATTAACCGATCAGAGTGAGGTTCTAGTGTTCGTTTCTTTTTTAAATTTCTGTTATAGGTATTATGTTTTTTACTTTACTCGCTCGTCATAACGAACACAGGTCGACAAATTTTGATTGCGAAATTTTTATTCTTATACATTACTCGGCGGGGCGAGCTAAATTGCAAGGACAAACGTGAGCGTGAAGCGTTATGAGCACAGTTTTATCAATTTCTCTTTTCTATTTTTTTAATATATATGATTGGCAAAGAGCTAAATAGAGGAAGAAATGTAAATCCAACATTTAATACACGATACTTTTTGAGACAAAAAAGAACCCCATTTTAATACATCGTTTCTATATAAATATATACGTTAAATCCATTGTGCATTCGTATAAACCAACATTTAATTGAGAGAATAGTTATCCAACTCAACGACAGACACAAGAACGAAAAAAATTAACGGAACGTATGCAGATTGTTTCATTAGTCTTTTTCTTGTTAATAAAACAGTTGATCGATTACCTTGTCATTCATCTTGGAACACGTGACAATTACGTGGAGAAAAACAATTTCTATCATGTAGAAATATGTGAATGTACAATGGAAACGTAGAATGTATGTTAGGCGAGTAAAGTTTGTTAGCGTCGTGTTCCAAAGTTACCTGTTGTTGATGCGCGAGGGTCTGCTTCATCAGTACCATTTTGATGCTCTGTTCCATCGCATACTTTTTTGCTCTATTTACTGTGTCCTGTTGTTCAGACGTTATTTTTGGAAGACCTGCGCCTAGAATACCAGGTAACGTAAGGTATTTAGCTCCGGGTCCTACAATCAAAAATCAGTATTATTTGTAAAACAATTTACGTCTGATTAAACGATACGCTCACTAAACGATATGCTCTCAGATCTTATCAGCTATTTGTCCACTAAAGCTAATATCAACTCTCGATACAACTTGAATCGAAGCGACAAATTTTATATGTCACCATTATTTTATATACATCATGTGCAGTTGTTAGAAAATTTAAACGACATTATAATTTTACATACCAGCAACGACTTGTCCGATTTGATTAAGATCATATATAGGCCCAGGCAAGAACTCTGTTGCATTTCCTACGAAGAAAATTTGCATTAGATAAACGCGTAATATAATAGCAATTACATTTAGTACGTCCACCATCACACACATATACGAATTCTTTGAAGAACAATATCATTCTTTTTTTTCTTATTCCATATTTCATTTAGTTGATGATAGAGGTACTAGAACAATTCATAATTATATACTAATATAGAGATTTCGCTTGTTTTACATTTTTTTTTCGTTTTTTTACGTTTCGCTTTTTTACGTGTCCAACCTTATGACTTGACATAAGAACATCTAATGTTCGTTGTACAAATATACTGTCAAACTTTTTGTAAATATCGATATTTCATCAATCTCTATAAAAACATTGAAATATGAGCAAAGAGTGAAAGAAATGACTTAAAAAGAGATGAAAAAAGTAAGGACGTCGTGCAACAGTTCCCACTGCAGTAGAATCATCCTCCGAACTGTAAGTTCAAAGAAATTAAAACAGTCAGGAACAATAACGGTATATTTGTAAAGTATAAACGTATATACACAGCTACATGTATATACTCGTATACATATTTCAGAAGAGATGAAATCTCTTCTTCCTTCTCTTTACGCCATTGAAATAAAAATGACTTTATATCTTGACAGACGAGGAACGATAAAATTCCAAAATTCAATTTAAAATGAAAGTTTACGAGGAACCAACTGCAAACGCAATTATTCGTGTTAAGGTTTCGTTTAAATTTCGTTACTGTTCGCACTACATCAGCCCCGAAAAAAGACTACCGATAACTAGATTAGGTTTCGTATGTTAACCAATTTGGTCTGCTAGTCTCTGAAACAGAAATCAGAACACGTTGAAACACGTTTCTTTCTCTCTTTTTATGACTTTTGCAGTTTCACGAATCGATATACTATTAGACTTTGTTCGATTTGCTTAACGGCTAACCGTGTTCTGGGCTGAGCAATGATGGTTGTGCGCAAACTATCCGAGATTGAGGCGACGCACAAATCTGTAAGCACAAAGCAAAGGAGAATACTCTCAGTGCATTTTCTGCGCCATTTTCTTACAGTTTGCCTTTTCCAACCTACCACGCATTTATCCCTAACGCGTTCTATTGCGGCAATGGCGATCCTATTTGTAAAACAATACGTTTGCTCCTCTAACGCGATTCACCTTACGGAAAAATATACTTTTTTCGTGTTGTATGTACCCTATTCAAATAACTTTCTTTGCTTGCAACGAGTATGCTTCCTTTAACGATAAAGTGTACAAAGGTTTGATAAGGACAAAAATATGATGAACATTGAGCATACCACAGAAAAAATATATCGCCATTGCACCTCCTATTTATAAGCCTCCAATCTTTGGGGTCTTCTAGGGTTTGTATCTTCATAACAGAAATCAGAAATGTATTCTTTGTTCTCACAGAAAGAATAAATGTCCTCAACCATCGATATTTAAAACTGTTCTTGTTCCCATGAAATATTGTACAGAGGCTTATAATTAGGATGAAAGAAGTCTACCCTAGAATGCTGACCTATCTAAGATAAGCATCGTATTTGGTACTCGACAATAGATGCTGTGTCAGTGGGAGTTTTCAAAACTCTGATTTGTTCTGTTCAACGAATGTAGCGTTCTCTTTCTTTGTTTGGCGCACGCTCATGATCACAGCTCAGTCGTAGGCCACAGATTCTGTACTGTCTCTCCGCTGTAACATCTCAGAACAGAAGGACAACCAAACATTAGTCTTATAGAGGGCCAACGATCACCTATTAACCCTAGCCTACCAAAATACATTCTGAAACTGCAATAGACCTCTCAACACTTATAGCTTGCCAGCATTTTAATAGAAAGCTAGCACTTGATTTGCCAAGTAATTAATAAATGTTTTGTCGTTCATCATTTTCCTTTGCTTAGAGATATATTATTGTTTGTTGTTGCTTCTGTGTTCACGGTTTCCAGTCGTACGCTTAATCTATTGGTGTAGATTAGGAGTAAACACTCATCTGGGAATATTAGCAATGTACCTTCAACTTTAGGTTTCTTGTTCGGGGGCTCCACATTATTCTGAGATGCTGGTGCCTAAAAAAACACATTACAATAATGAATATAGATCGTAATTCAAATTCATTAATGTTATTATAACTTTTAATATAATTGTATGAACAAGATCGATTTCGTTACAATAAAGAAATTTCAAATATGTATAACAATCGATTAGGGGGCAAATTATTGATGATTATATGATAAAGAAATATGTTGATGTCGGATAATTGAACGATTTAGGAATGTTAATAAGCATGTTAGAAGCAGTTTACAACCGCCATCATGGTCATGAAAGATCCGACTTCAACCGATTCGTATTCTGTAGCAATTATTATAGCAATTACACTTACCATGGCCATCGCTCCGTTCATTGTTCCTGGTACTCTGTTAAAAACGGAACAACTGCTATTAGATATTCTTTTGAAGACAGATATTGACTAATTTGGCACAAGTAACTTACATGCAGAACGATACGTACGAAGCTGTACGAAACTTCCCTTCACGGAAGTGTCATAAGTACTACGTACATCGTAGTAATAACGTTATTTTTCATTGTGCACTAGTTGTGTGTACGAACGTATTAATAGTCATTAGTGAATAGGCAAATTAATTATAGAAGATTAAATAAAAATAGTATTAATAGTTCCTACGTTGTACAAATATTTGTTTTGTCCTTAACTTCGGCTCTTTTATGCTAATTGCGATTTGACTATAGTGGTGGGTTTGTGACAAGATACAGACATGTGCATGTATATGTATTTAATGGTTAGAGATTAAGTAGCCTGTTTTCTTTTAAAAGTGATCACCAAATTTCGATGGATCCTAACGACATTCAAATTAGATCGATTAATAAGGAAAAGGTGAAATACATTTACATAATTCCACTGAAATAAATAACTTTTCATACGTTTCTGAATATGCCTCAATTGTTAGCTTGGCACATGGCATTTTCTTCATACTTATTAATTACGAATATGAATTTAGTTCAGTAAAACATTTATGGCTTATGCTTGTTACAGGGCAAAGGTCTCTTTGCTGTTCGATCATTCAAAGATGGGGATACGATCTTCGAAGAGAAACCTTTAATTTGCTGTCAATTTGCATGGAATCAGGAGTATAAATACTTAGCTTGTGACAATTGTTTAAAACCTTTAGAAACTGCTGAGGAAAATGTGCGTAGATTAACTGGGAATTCAACAATTATTTTACCTCATCCAGAATGCTGTGAAACAAAAAAAGATTTAATCACTGAATGTGCCGAATGTGACACAAAATATTGTAGTGTTGAATGCCAAAATGAAGCCTTTTCAAGGTGACTTTTAAATTCCATGAGTATGTTATTAATCATAATGAGAAGATAATCGTGTAAACTATACTATTGCAGGTATCATAAGATAATCTGTTTAAGATCAAAAGAAAAGGATGAATCTCATCCTTTAGTGCAATTAACTGAAACATGGAAGCAAATGCATTATCCACCGGAAACGGCAACGATAATGTTGTTAGTTAAAATAGTAGCTCTTATTAATCAAGCTAGTAATAAAGAGGATCTACTTTCAATATTTTCCCAATTTTGTCAACGTACAATCAATGACACAGACGATATTATACATAAGTTGTTAGGAGAAGAATTTGTTTCTCAACTGGACGTACTCAGACAAATGATGTTAAAAGCTGTAAATACAGACTTTACAGAACAAGTAGGTACTGTAAATACATCATTTGAAGAAGTATTAGATTACAGGAAGATATGAGGTCATTTTAATTTATAGTGGTTCACACCAGAAGGCTTTAAAAGTCTGTGGGCTTTAGTAGGTACAAATGGTCAAGGAATTGGAACCAGTGCGTTTAGTCGTTGGGTTAAAAATGTATCTGCTTTGGAATTGCCGAGGGATGAAAGAATTCATGTCGATAAATTGATAGATCGAATTTACGATGATATGGACAGAGGTAAATTCTATCGAGGTGTAGTAGTAGTAATAGGAGCAACTTTGTTTTACTGTCTCTGTTATTCTTTTCAGAGGTGTCCTTCTTCCTAAATAATGAAGGTTCTGGTCTTTATGTTCTCCAATCTTCGGTAAATCATAGTTGCGTACCCAACGCGGTTGTAGAGTTTCCTTATTCGAACAACGTGTTGGCTTTAAAAGCAACACGCGATATTCAACCGGAGGAGGAAATCTGTATAAGTTATCTCGGTGAATGTTGTCTAGAAAGGAGTAGACATTCTCGATGGAAGATTTTAAGTTCTCAATATTTGTTTCATTGTTATTGTAAAAAGTGTTTGTCACAAGCCAACGATCCAGATGAAACATCAGAAGATGATGACGATATGATGGAAGATGATGACAATTAAAAATATGTATTTTTATAGTACATGTGCACATAAATAAATTTTTTAATGTCTGTATGCTCCACATTACGAATTATTCCTATGATGTAATTTTATGAAGAATGTTTTCACTGTTTTATAACTTGGTTTTACAATCGTACTAAAGTAGGTGTTGCATACAAAATACGCTTTATGTACAACTAGTTATGATAAAATACATTT